AAATTCATTTCTCGAAAATATTATATATATATATTAAAATATAAAATATAATATTATAAATATAAATATTATTATATATAATATAAATAACATAAATATAATATATATATAATTTATAATATATAAATATAATATTATATATATATTATATTATATATTTATTATATAATATTATATATATATTATATTATATATAATAATAATAATATATATATATATTATATTATATATAATAATAATAATATATATATATATTATATTATATATAATAATAATAATATATATATATATTATATTATATATTTATTATATAGGAACAACAAATATTAAGAATATCGTAAAACGAATAAAGAAATTGAACTGAAGAAAGTTTATTTTAAAGTTCGAGCATTTTATTAATTATTATTATTGCATATTAACTGTATCAAGTGATAATCTAGGTGTCTAAATAATGAAAAAACTTTCTCCCATTCAATTGAAACCAGTATAAAAAGAATGACATGAACAGCAGTTCTTCGGTGATAGAAACACCAGAAAAATGTACAAATTATTTAAAGTTGAGGGCGAAAGATTTATTTTCGCGTATTTTAATCTTGTTAGGAAAAAATCATTAAATGATTAATTTATATTAATTTATAAAATTGATTTATAAAATTAATTTATACAATTAATTTATACAATTTTTAAATAAAAACCGGATCGACGAAAGCATGATAACAATGTCGGTCGGAAATTTTTGGCCGCCGCTGCATATCAACAATGATTGCCGATATCTCGTAAATGTAATCTTGTTTAATTTGTTTCGCGCGCGAATTACTATTATATATAAAGTGAATCTGCGCAGCACTTAAATAAAGTAGAATATTGAAATCGTGTAAACGGGAACTGCTGTTTGTAATTCGTAATTTGTAATGCGTACGCGGCCGGTGTCACGAACTCGAATAAATTAAAAATACGATGCGCAATTAATTTTTTACACGCGACTAGTGCAAGGATTTCATGTTGATTGAAACAGCCGAGTTTCGTTCTATTAAAGAAATGAATGTAATTGGACTCGAATAAAGTGATTTGCAACTTTTCCCGTTGTCAAACCGAGGATGAGAAATGAGTTTTCATTAACTCCTGCGAATGTGTTTTTAATTAAAAACTGATTTAATGGTGTGCTTCCTCTTCTCTTTCTTGCAGCGAACGGAAATAATGCAGCGAGCGTTCTTTCAGTCGACGATTTCTTCGATCGGAATCCGTAGGGAGCGAGCGAAGGGAGGAAGACCGAGCCAGAAAGTTTGTTTTTCGCATAACTCGTTAATATGTTAATCTCGAAAAAAAAGATTTTATTTCATTGGCAAACTCGAGCGGGACGTTGAGTCGTTCGAGGTAAAAATCTAAACGATTATTGCGAGAAGATAAGAACAGCGATCCATAAAGCCCATTTTATTATCGCAAATTTGAGAACTTTTAACATCCGGCGTCATTTATTAACGAATCTGTCTATCTAATTTCTGCGGAATGTTCAATGTTGTTCAAGCGGCTTTTGCTGCAGAAACCAAGCGCTTTATGATTATATATTTTTCTTTAAACTTAATACTGAAACACCTAATTATTTACCAAATCTAGAGGCAGATTATAAATTAGTGAGTAGCTCAAAGATTCTAGGTAAGGTATATTTTTATTATTAATATAATATTTATATATAATATATATTATTAATATACTAATATATTTTATTATTAATATAATATTTCTATTATTAATATTTATTTATAAATATTAATAAACAACTGCCTAACTGGATCTAATCGTTACTGTCTAAAAGAAGCTAATTGAGGAATAATCAATTGAATTACATACAGTGACTGGCATTAATATTCGGACACATTTTAAAACAGAATAATTTTTTTAAAAATAGAAAATTTAAACAATGTCTTGTATAGATCTCGGCGACGTATAAAGCAACTTATAATCTCGACAACTTATATACTGAAGGTTTCATCGAAATCGGTTAACGTTGTTACGAGCTACAAACAATTAAAGATGGCGAAACTCACAGCTTTCCGCGACTCTCGTCCCAAAAACTGTGGGTAATTTCAAGATTTTGACAATTTTCAGTGCTTGTAGCTCGACTCTGCGTTAATCGAGATTTCGATAAAATTTTCCCACGCGCATAAGTTCCCGAGATCTATAAAACGCAATTTTTAAATTTTCATTACAGGCTCGAATAAAACAGTTGGAAAACATCATTTTTTCATCTCCGTATCATCCCAACCGATACAAAGTACAAGTTTGTCTGCTCATTCTCTGGCAGATCAGTCGTTCATCTCAAAAAACGTCTGGAAAAAGTTATTTCGTCCACTTCTAATAAAGCTGTTCTGTTTGAAAAGTTGCCCGAATATTAATGCGAGTCGCTGTATGTTATTCGAGAAAAATTCTTCGTCGATCAAATTGTAATTGAGATTAAACAAATGTGTTGGCAAAAGAAACGTACAATATGAACGGAGGTCGAATAAGAAATGGCTGCGTCGAAATAGAATGTGAAAACGAGGTAAAGATGTTCTTTCCCAT